ATGCATACTGATGAGGGTCCTCGTTGATGTTGATGGTTGTTTTGATGTGAGTCATGACCAGTTTTTCAAAGCATTTAGCGACTATCGGGGTGAGGGCCACTGGCCGATAGTCATTGAGACCAGTCACTGTAGAGCTTTTTGGGACTGGGATGATGGTGGCAGTCTTCAGGCAGGTGGGAACTGTCTCCAGGGTAAGTGAGGTGTTAAAGATGTCTGCCAGCACCTCACAGAGCTGATCAGCACATTCCTTCAACACTTGTCCGGGGATGTTGTCTGGGCCAGTTGCTTTGTGCGGATTAATCCTCCTGAAAGTACTCCTTACTTCTGCTGAGGTCATGCTGAGATGCTCTTCATCCGGTGGTGAGGTGAGTCTGGTGCTGGGTGGTCTGTTCGGGTCTTCAAAACGTGCATAGAACTTGTTGAGGGCATCAGGCAGAGATGGGTCTTTGGGGCATTGTTCGCTCCTTCCTTTATAATCTGTTATGCACTTAATGCCCCTCCACATGCTCCGAGGGTCTTGTGAGATGAATTGACCCTCGATCCTCTATGCATATGTGGCCTTGGCCTTCTTGATACCAGCAACCAGCTCTTTTCTTGTCTTACTCAGCTCCTCTGAGCTTCCAGACCTGAAGGCAGTGTTCCTGGCTTCCAGCAGGGTACGCACCTCTGCATTCAGCCAAGGTTTTGTGTTTGGGTAGCTTTTAACATTTCTGATAGTGGAGACGGTGTCAGTACATGTACTAATGTAACCCAGAACTGAGGATGTGTATTGGTCTAGATCAAGCGATCCTCCATTTTCAGCAGCTTCTCTGAAAACCTGCCCGTCTGTTCGGTCAAAACAATCTCTCAGTATGGGGCCACTGTCCTAGATCCAGCATTTAACTTTCTTTTGTACCGGTATGGAGCGTCTCAGCGGGGGCATGTAAGCAGGAGCCAGGAAGATTGAGATGTGGTCTGACAGTCCTAGGTGGGGGCGGGGTTCGGCTTTGTATGCATCTTTAACGTTCGTGTAAACACGGTCCAGCGTGTGGTCTCCACGTGTCGGAATCGCCACATGTTGATAAAAGCTTGGGAGACAGTCCTTTAGATTCACGTGGTTAAAGTCTCCGGCTACAATGTAAAGAGCCTCGGGGTGTTTGCTCTGCAGCGAGCTGATGATATCATGAAGCTCCTGCAGTGATTCATTAGCATTAGCGTTCGGAGGAATGTAAACGACAGTGATGAAAGTCACCATGAACTCGCGGGGTAGATAATGTGGCCGGCATTTCACTGTTATTTGCTCCAAAGCCTTCGAGCATGAGCTATTTACAACAGTACAGTTCGTGCACCAACTTTTACTCACGTAAATGCATACTCCGCCTCCCCGTGATTTCCCCGTTGGCTCGCTGCAGCGGTCCGCTCGAAAAAAAAGTCTGTCATCCAGCTGGAAGACTGTATCCTGCGTTTCGCTTGTAATCCATGTTTCTGTGAGGCAAAGCACGCGCACTTCTTCATCTCTTCTGAGGCGCCCGCTCTCAGACGAAGTAAATCCACCTTGTCCAACGAGCGGACATTCGATAGAAAGAGAGAAGGCATGGGGAGTTTACCGGCTTTAGCGTTAGCTCGTAGCCTCACATTTGCCATCTCCACATCATTGCATTCAGTTTTTATTCACAATTTGTTTAGTGTCCCAACTTTTTTGGAATCCGGTTTGTACTATTCCTACTTAGCGGTTTTTCACTTATCATGGGGCTGCACGGTACTTAATTCTTAAGTAAAGGTTTAATTACATCAGTGCTTCTCAATTTTTTTCTGTTACACCCCCCCCCCCCCCCCCACCCAGGAAGAAGTAAACATGTTGCGCCCCCCCAACCAAGAAGGACCATCAGCCTAACATGACCATGTGAGCAGCTGGTTTTGGTTGTCAGCAGCAAACTGGTTGATCCATTCTGAGAAGGTGCTATTTAAGAGACTGAGCTGAATACAGCACCTCAGACTGAGGAAGTCTCTCAGATGAGAGACGAAACATTTCTATTTTTTTTTATTTTGCTTTGTTTCGTTTTTTGTTTTTTTTGAATGTCCAGAGGACCAGATTAAACTTTTTTGGATTTTTCTACCTGGATTATTGAGCATGCATCAGGATGTTATATACAACACTTTAACCTACAAAACAAATATGAATAAAACAATTTGTGCTGATTAAAAAAATATATATATATTATCAAAATGAGGAAGTCAGGATTAATGGCTACAATGAGCACGTTTTGCAGTGCACAGCTTTTTGAAGCCAAGTTTGAAACATGATCCTGCAGCTCTCAGCTCAATGTTTAACTGGACTGGACTTGGTCTCAGTGCAGAAACAGCAGAGGAGTCGCAAAGAGTGCAAGCAGGCTGGCTTGGAGTGGGGGGAGTGGGGGGGGATGCGCTCACAAGAGAAGAACCTGACAAGTTGTTTGACATAAAATATATTTTGTTGTGCTTTGACAATCAATAAAACTAAAAAATGTTGTCAACATGAAAGAGGAAAGAGGGGGCAGGTGTCGCTCTCACTTTGAGTTTATACTCTTTGTTGCTGCGTGCTGCGGATAAAATGCGTCCAGAGCGGAGGACTAGTTAGAATAGTCCTAACATTTATTAAACATTACTTCTGTATTTAAAAAAACACAAAAATTGTGCTTTGACAAACTAAAAGCCAAAACAAAAAAATTGTTAAAGAGGAAGAGGGGCAGGTAACGCTCTCCCTTTGAGTTTATTCTCTGTTGCATGTGTGCTGTGGGTGACAAGCATCTAGGGCCGAGTACCGAACTGAGGTTCTTTTATAGCACCGACCGAACTGCACCGGTCGGTGTATGTATTGAAACGTCACTCTTCTTTCGGTGTCAAGTTTCGGTATTGGCTGTAACGTGTCACGTGGTTTCAGCATGCAGAAAGTTGTTCCATGTTTTTCTGCGAGGAGAGAAGAGTTCATTAGCCTCCCCCTCCTCCTCTCAGCGTTAAAGTCAGCCTGTGAGTAGAGCCTGAATGTCCTGATTCATTATCTCCACGACCGGACTCTTCATCAAAGAACTCCGAGGATGGCTCTGTGCCTGTGCTTCAGCTGGTGAGTTTATGTTTGTAAGCGTAACTGCAGCTTAACACGTGCATCGCGGTGAAATAAATTATGATCCATGTAAGGGTAACTTTAAGATATTAGTGTGTACATTTATTTTATCTACGTGGCTAGCTAAACTCAGAAGCTAACTAAAGATTGACAGTAACATAAATCTTAGCTTGTAAAACTGCTCATCCATCCAATCAGCTGCTTAAACAGTTCACTAATGTTCACTGTTTATGTTAATGTTCTCCTCACAGGAGCCTCTGACCCTGATGTGAGGAGGACAAAAGAAAAGTGAGGTGGGGGCCACAGGACAGTCAGACTTTGTTAAAAGTTTATTGCTTTTTCTACAGTGGAGCTGCACAGTGGAGGTAAGTAAACTGTAAAGGATTTTGTTGACCAGTTAAACTTTTCTCTCTCAGCCTAGATTTATGTTTTTTGAGGAATAATAACACAAACATGTTATTGTTGATGTTTTGTTCTCATGTCAATTAGGGAGATGATCAGAGCCCTAAACCCCAGAGAACCACAGAGAAGATTCAGGAAGAGACACAGATGTGCAGATGTCTGCATCATCACTACCTCATTGAATCCAGTGACCTGCTGGTGGAATGTGAGGGGCAATATGTCAGTGCTATCAAACTGACAACAAGGTATCTGTGTGTGCAACAAGCATCATCTACAGCCTCAGAGTGAACATGTTCTACTGCTGGAGACACCATCAGCAAGGAGTGGGCTTGTTTGTGTCCACAGAAAGAAGACATGTTGATTTTTCTGAAGAAAAACTCTTAAGTGAAAAGGTCTTCAGTGTGTAGCAGTGAACATTAGACACCGACGTGTCACTGGTTTGTAACTGGTCTTTTGACCTGGAAATTATTTGTTTGTTTTTATGTAAGAAAACTGCTTGGAATAGAAAAATACCAAAGTTAAAAAATAAAACTCACAATTTGTACTGTAATGTGTAACGTAATTTTATTCTTGTTAGAATTAATATTAATTACAAAATTGGTACCGAAAAAAGAACCGTCCAGGAACCAACACCGAAGTGAAGGTACCGACACCGGTACCGATACCGATTTTTTTAGAAAGGTACCCAGCCCTACAAGTGTCCAGAGCATCACCTCTGAGGAGGTGTCGGAGTTATTTATTTCTCAGCAGCAGAGGGAAGCGACGCAGTTCAAGCATGCTCCCCAAACAACAAGACAGCCATATTTGTTCATAACTTTATTATTAGTGAGCCTGAGAGTTGCCGGGTTTTAGCAAACAGTTGCCGAACGCACCCTGACAAAATGAAAATGGTGAAAAAAATAAAATAAAAAAACTACTCCCTGCCGCAAAATGTTCCCCGGGGTCACATGCCCCACTATTTGAGAAGGTCTGAATTACATCAGCCTTAAATCTCTGTGGTACATAATTATTCATTGGAGACAAATTAAGCAGATCCAAAATGTGAGCATCAATTAAGGGAAATACCTCTTTGAACAGTCTGGTTTCAATGGGATCTAGCAGACATGTGGATGGTTTGGATGAAGCTATTATTTTTGACAATTCAGAGAGCTCAACAGGACAAAAACAGTCCAAACATAAATCAGGTTCTAGTGACATTTCTAAAGTTGCCTCATCTGACAGTGAAACAGAGGCAACAGTTGGAAGGATGGTTTGAATTTTCTCCTTAATTGAAATAAGTTTATTTATAAAAAATCTCATAAATTCATTGCTGCTTAATTGAAAGAGAGTGGACATTCTTTCTTTATGGTGTTCTTATTTTGAGCTCAGATTACAATCTGGAAGTAATCTTTAATTTACAACACAAAGACTGTCTTGTTCTAAAAGGAGCAAGCTTTTTAAAACATCAGGCCTGATGTTTGTTCTCCACGTCACCACTGAGAACCCAAGCTAACTGCAGCATCCTCCATGTGTTTCACAGAAGGTGCTGAAATGGATCAGAGGAACACCCAGCAGGACTTCCAGGACCAGTTCAATGATGTGGTCTCCAGACTGCAGTCCAAGCAGTTATTCCAGTCCGACTGGGACATCGCTGCTTTTGTGCTCTTCTTTGCATTCTTTGGTAAGCTTGATCAAACTGTTTTATATCTGCAATGAGAGTTCCACTAATTCAAGGTTCAAACTGACTTGGATATATTGAAGGTTAAATGTCTCTGGACCTCAGGCTTTCTGTCTCCTTCAACAAGCTTCTGATAGGATTAAAGTTTGTAAGCTCAATCATCCAGGTAGATAACAAAAAAAGGTTAAATCATTTCATCTGGACCAGTTTCTTTAAGGGAGAAAGTTTCCTCTTCCATTCAGAAGACTTCATCAGTCTGTGGCCTACTAACCAGATCTGTCCCATAAGTAGCCCTCACTGCTGTGTTTCAAGCTACTATTAATTATTTCTCCAGTGCATTTAACACAATCCAGCCTGATTTGCTTTGTCAGAAACTCCAGAAGACTCAGGTGGAGGCCTCAACAATCGCCTGGATCAAAGACTACCTGACGGACAGACCACAGTTTGTGAGACTGAAGGGTTGTGTGTCTAACCAGGTGGTCAGTAGCTCAGGAGCACCACAGGGGACTGTACTCTCACCATTCCTTTTCACTCTGTACACCTCAGATTTCCAGTACAAAACAGACTCCTGTCATCTGCAGAAATATTCTGATGACTCTGCAGTAGCTGGGTGTATCAGAGATGGACAAGAAGCTGAGTACAGGGAACTGGTGGACCGCTTTGTGGCATGGTGTGGAAACAATCATCTCATCTTGAATGTGAACAAAACAAAGGAGATGGTTGTAGATTTCAGGAGAATCAGGAACATATCCAACCCTATTTTCATCATGGGAGAAGAAGTGGAGGTGGTGGAGAAGTATAAATACCTTGGAGTTCACCTGGACAACAGACTGGACTGGAAATGCAACAGTGCAGCCATCTACAAGAAGGGACAGAGCAGACTGTACTTCTTGAGGAAGCTGAAGTCCTTCAACGTTTGCAGCAAGATGCTGCATATCTTCTATAAGTCTGTTGTAGAGAGTGCTGTCTCTTCTGCCATCATCTGTTGGGGTAGCAGCACCAGAGCAAGTGACTTAAAAAAGATCAACAAGCTCATAAAGAAGGCTGGCTCAGTTCTGGGGACTCCTCTAGAACCTTTGGAGATGATTGTTCAAAGAAGGATTCTTCATAAAATGAAGAACATTATAGACAACCCTCAGCACCCTCTTCATCAGACTGTCATACAACAACAAAGTGTCTTCAGTCAGAGGCTTCTTCAAATCCGTTGTAGGACAGACCGCTACAAGAGATCCTTCCTGCCCACAGCCATCAGCATCTATAACAACTCATTAATGAAACCAGGATGATGAGTTACCCAACATATAATTTCCCTCTGGGATTAATAAAGTATTTTTGAATTGAATTGAATATATATATATATATATATATATATATATATATATATTATATAAGTGCTATGTGTTGTCATCATTGTATGAGAACATACAATGATGAAATTAGTTCTCTGCATTTAACCCATCACACTTGGAATACACTCAGGTGGAGCAGTGGACAGCTCTGTAAGCGCCCGGCAAGTAATTAGGGATTGGGTGTCTTGGTCAGATACACCACAACATGTGGGCATGGCTGGGGATTGAACCTGGGACTTCCAGGTCCCAAGTCGGCTGCCCTGCCTCTACCCCATCTCGGCCCTCCATCTGTGGCTTTAAAAGCAGGAACTTCTTCTTTGGTCCTCTCAGTTCATGGAGATGTAAACCCGGCCTGAATGTGGACAGTAGTGATGTGACAGTACATGTACAAGTATTGATACTAAGCTATTATGGTATAGATGTCTCAGGTAACTATCAAACAAGGTCATATCCCCCTCCCCCTCATTTGTTTATTATTATTTTTTTTGCCAACTGCTCCAACAGAAGAGGAGTAAAGAAATGCCCCTGCTGTAGGTCCCTGTACAGCTCTCCATGTGTGAGCCTTGTGCATTGTGGGTGCACCACAATGGGACCGGGTGTGTCCACTGGTCCCAGAGCAGGATGGATGGACAGACTACTGGGAAACAGAAATAGCTTCACTGTCCAGCCACAGCAGTGTGTGTTTTACAGCTGGTCAGAGTGGGGAAGCACTTTTTGAAGTATTTTCCTAACAAAAGCTTTATTACATTTTAGTTTGACTTTTTGAAACTTTTTGTTTCACACATGGTCTTTAGACTCTGTTGAGTTTAAATCAGATACAGTAAATAAGTCAATGCTCCATGGCTTTGATTTAGTCTTGCTAACTTTGATCCCCTCCATGTGAAAGCCTAAATACATACTAAAAAATAAATAAAGAAAGAAAAAAAATAGCATTTAGCATTTGTGTTTTTGTCCCCTGTAATGGAGCAAACGGGGGAATTGCCCGAAAATAAGAGCGGTACCAACTTCCATTCTGGTGTGTGGCTGCTTCTAAGTGAAAGAGAGGTCACTATCAAACATTGAGTTGCCAAGTCAAAATCCAAGACGGCCACCACCACACACATTCTCCTGTGGAACAAGATCTTCTTATCCACACTCGTGTGTCTCTGGATATTTTGTCTTCCAAAACAATCTTTTTAAAGCCTTGAGATGGTTGTGTGTAAAAATCTTAGCTCATCAGTTTCTGAAGTACTTCAGACTAGAGGTGAACCACTACAAGTTTTTCACTGTGCAATGTTAATCTTTAGATAACAGGTCAGCCACAGGTGCTGCTCATAAAATTAGAATATCATGAAAAAGGTGATTTATTTCAGTAATTCCTTTCAAAAAGTGAAACTTGTATATTATATTCATTCACTACACACAGACTGATATATTTTAAATGTTTATTTCTTTTAATGTTGCTGATTATAACTGACAACTAATGAAAACCCCAAATTCAATATCTCAGAAAATTAGAATATTACTTAAGACCAATAAAAAAATGATTTTTAGAAAGGTTGGCCAACTGAAAAGTATGAACATGAAAAGTATGAGCATGTACAGCACTCAGTACTTAGTTTTGGCTCCTTTTGCCTGGATTACTGCAGCAATGCGGCGTGGCATGGAGTCGATCAGTCCGTGGCTCTGCTCAGGTGTTATGAGAGCCCAGGTTGCTCTGATAGTGGCCTTCAACTCTTCTGAATTGTTGGGTCTGGTGTATCACATCTTCCTCTTCACAATACCCCATAGATTTTCTGTGGGGCTGAGGCAGGGGTGGGCAAACTTTTAGACTCGCGGGCCACACAGAGTTCTATAATTGGAGTGAAGAGCTGGGCCAGGAACAGATGATAGTGTTTGTGTGATGTTACACCCCAGCGCAATAACAGCCACCGGGACGCTATTAATTATGGGCGATTCCACCTTCTGCACCACTCAAGCAGACACTAAATCAGGATTATATGATAGAAAAGTGATTTTATTTACAACAGTGAAATTATTGACTTTGTGGAGTCTTACCAACTTCAGGCCCAAACAACAAGCAAAACAAACCACTGGATTTTCTCTTACCTGAAGAAAAATAAAATTCACCAAACCAGAAGTCTCTTACCTCACTATGCTAATGGAATACAGGAGAAAAGTTAAAATAAAGTGGCTGCTCACCTCTACAAACTCCTCACAAAACTTTTTACAACTACAGGATCTAAAGTTGATGACAGGTCAGCTGTGGCAAGTTGGGAATGGAAGCAGACATCATCCTCCTGCAGCTCCTCTATGCAGCATCACAACAGAGTACCTGCACAATAATTCACACACACATTTTTGTCTTTTACTTTTTTTTTTGTTGTTCACACACAATTTAACAGTTTCACACACACACACACACACACACACACACAAAGCATGACTTACAGCGATTCCTGATGGATGAAAAATAACATCATGGTCGGGTTTTCCTCTTTCACTTTATCCTGGATTCTTGTCAGCAGCCCAACATGTTTTCCAGTTAAATTTGGTGATGCGTCCATTGTGATATTGTCAACTTTACTCCACAGTAGCTTCATTCTCTTCATTTGGAAAAAAGCTTGCTAGCATAGTTAGCAGTTAGCATACTGCACTCTTTGAAAACCGCAACAGTTTCTTGGCATAAAAACTACCTTTGATTGGACATCAGTGAAACAATATGTTGTTGCTCACTCTATATTAAACACTCGGCACTCACTGTACACTTTTCTTTTCTTTGATAAGACCGTTTTTACAGATGAGTTTGTAGGGCAAAGTGTAAATAAAAGTAAAGAAGAAGAAATTACTTCTTCTCTACTGTTACTTTGCCTCGAATGCACGCTAGTGTGTGTAGTGCTCCTCTACTGGGGAAATGTGGGAATTACAGGTAAAACTACACCAGTTTTTTTCCTATTAAATTCAGTTTTTCAAATATAATTTGGACCAGTGGCAATTTTAACCTCTTTTTGGGGGTGCTTAAGCACCCCTAAATGTAACAACTCAGCACACTTGAAAAATAAAGTAAAAAAAAAAAAAAACTTTTTTTTTTTTAATTGTCCAAATTTTGGACAATTTCAGCAGGCCATTTAAAAAGCCCAACGGGCCATATCGGGCCGGGGTTTGCCCATGCCTGGGTTAAGGTCAGGCGAGTTTGCTGGCCACTTAAGAACAGGGATACCATGGTCCTTCAACCAGATACTGGTCACTTTGGCACTGTGTGCAGGTGCCAAGTCCTGTTGGAAAATGAAATATGCATCTCCATAAAGTTGATCAGGAAGTAGGAAGTGCTCTAAAACTTCCTGGTAGATGACAGTGTTGAACTTGGAAAAAACACAGTGGCCCAAAACCAGCAGATGGCATGGTCCCCCAAACCATCACTGACTGGAAACTTGACACTAGACCTCAAGCAACATGGATTATGTGCCTCTCCCCTCTTCCTCCAGACTCTGGGACCTTGATTTCTAAAGGAAATACAAAATTTACTTTCATCAGAGAACATAACTTTGAACCACTCAGTAGCAGTCCAGTTCTTTTTGTCTTTAGCCCAGGCGAAACGCTTCTGACACTGTCGCTTGGTCAAGAGTGGCTTGACAACAAGGAATGTGACCGCTGAACCCCTTGACTTGCATACGTCTGAGTGTGGTGGTTCTTGAAGCACTGATTCCAGCTGCAGTCCACTGTTTGTGAATCTCCCCCACATTTTGGAATGGGTTTTGTTTCACAATTCTCCAGGGTTTGGTTATCCCTATTTGCTTGTACACTTTTTTTCTACCACATCGTTGCCTTCCCTTAGCCTTAATGTGCTTGGACACAGAGCTCTGTGAACAGCCAGCCTCTTTAGCATGACTTTTTGTGTGTTGCCATCCTTGTGCAAGGTGCCAATGGTCGTCTTTTGGACAACTGTCAAGTCAGCAGTCTTCCCCATGATTGTGTAACCTACAGAACTAGACTGAGAGACCATTAAAAGGCCGTTGCAGGTGTTTTGAGTTAATTAGCTGATTAGAGTGTGGCACCATTTCTCTTCAATATTGAAACTTTTTACAATATTATAATTTTCTGAGATACTGAATTTGGGGTTTTCATTATTTGTCAGTTATAGTCATCAACATTAAAAGAAGTAAACATTTGAAATATATTAGTCTGTGTGTAATGAATGAATATACAAGTTTCACTTTTCGAATGGAATTATTGGAATCAACTTTTTCATGATATTCTAATTTTATGACCAGCACCTGTAAAACACTGATTGGTTTTTATTTTTATTATATTTAACCAATATATCTTCAGTAAGCTGATGCCTCAACGTAATTGTCAGTTCAAATTATTTATATAGCATCAAATCACAACAGAAGTTGTCTCAGGGCACTGTACAGAAACATTCACATACAAACCGGATTCCAAAAAAGTTGGGACACTAAACAAATTGTGAATAAAAACTGAATGCAATGATGTGGAGATGGCAAATGTCAATATTTTATTCGTAATATAACATAGATGACAGATCAAAAGTTTAATTGGAGTAAATGTAACATTTTGAAGGAAAAATATGTTGATTCAAAATTTCACAGTGTCAACAAATCCCAAAAAAGTTGGGACAAGTAGCAATAAGTGGCTGGAAAAAGGAAATTGAGCATATAACGAACAGCAAGAAGACCAATTAACACTAATTAGGTCAATTGACAACTTGATTGGGTATAAAAAGAGCTTCTCAGTGTGTCAGTGTCTCTCAGAAGCCAAGATGGTAAGAGGATCACCAATTCCACCATTGTTGCGCAGAAAGATAGTGCAACAATACCAGAATGGTGTTACCCAGCGTAAAATAGCAAAGACTTTTAAGTTATCATCATCAACCATGCATAACATCATCAAAAGATTCAAAGAATCTGGAACAATCGCTGTGCGTAAGGCCGTAAAACTCTAGTGGATGCTCGTGATCTCCGGGCCCTTAAATGTCACTGCACCTCAAACAGGAATGCCACTGTCAAGGACATAACAGAATGGGCTCAGGAGTACTTCCAGAAAGCATTGTCAGTGAACACAATCCAACGTGCCATCCGCCGTTGCCAGCTGAAACTCTACAGTGCAACGAGGAAGCCATTTCTAAGCAAGCTCCACAAGCTCAGACGTTTGCACTGGGCCAGGGGTAATTTAAAATGGAGTGTGGCAAAATGGAAGACTGTTCTGTGGTCAGATGAGTCACGATTTGAAGTTCTTTATGGAACACTGGGACGCCATGTCATCCGGACCAGAGAGGACAAGGATAGCCCAAGTTGTTATCAACACTCCGTTCAGAAGCCTGCATCACTGATGGTATGGGGTTGCATGAGCGCTTGTGGAATGGGCAGGTTGCATGTCTGGAAAGGCACCATTAATGCAGAGAACTATGTTCAGGTTGTAGAACAACATATGCTCCCATCTAGACGTCATCTCTTTCAGGGAAGACCCTGCATTTTTCAACACGATAATGCCAGACCACATTCTGCAGCAATCACAACATCATGGCTAAGTAGGAGAAGGATCCAGGTACTGAAATGGCCAGCCTGCAGTCCAGATCTTTCACCTATAGTGAACATTTGGCGCATCATAAAGAGGAAGGTGCGACAAAGAAGGCCCAAGACGATTGAACAGTTAGAGGCCTGTATTAGACATGAATGGGAGAGCATTCCTATTTCTAAACTTGAGAAACTGGTCTCCTCTGTCCCCAGACGTCTGTTGAGTGTTGTAAGAAGAAGGGGGGATGCCACACTGGTAAAAAATGGACTTGTCACAACTTTTTTGGGATTTGTTGATGCCATGAAATTTGGAAACAACAGATTTTTTCCTTAAAATGATACATTCTCTCAGTTTAAACTTTTGATCTGTGATTTGTGTTCTATTCTGAATAAAATACTAGATGTTGGCACCTCCACATCATTGCATTCAGTTTTTATTCACAATTTTAGTGTCCCAACTTTTTTGGAATCCGGTTTGTACATAAAAAAAAAGACGATCAGTAAAAGTTCTCTATCTCAGGAAGCAGCAGATTGTATTGAATCTTCATTTGGTCACAGTCTCCCATCCTGAGTAAGCGCAAAGGTATGTTCCTCCTTCCTGTTCCTCTCAAACCCAGCCGGTCGAAGCAGATGACCGCTCATCCTGAGCCTGGTTCTGCTGGAGGTTTCTTCCTGTTAAAAGGAAGTTTTTCCTTTCCACTGTCTCCTTTGTGCTTGCTCAGGATGGTAGACTATGATGAGTGAAGAATACACAATCTGCTGCTTCCTTCGACATATAACTTTTACTAATTGTTTTTTATCTATGTGAATGTTTTTGTTCAGTGCTCTGAGACGACTTCTGTTGTGACTTGGTGCTACAGAAAGTGAATAACAGTCGGTAACAATAAGTTAATAGACCTTGTCAAGTTGAAACCAACTTTTGGTACTTTCTATTAAAAGATTTATATGAATGTATGTACATATTTGAGCTTGAATGTATTCTTTTGGTTCTGTGTAGATTGGGGCAGGAGGAGGGGGCACACTGTCTGGTATCAACAATTTCTTGTGGGATCAGTAAAGTTCTATCTTATCTTATCTATGACTCTGGTTTAGCATTTAAACCATAAGAACAGTATGAGGATTGTTTTGATACTTTTTAACTCTGTACCTTGAAACCAGCCCATGATGGAGTCAAATACTGAAGAGAAAGTGTTTTTAAATGTTCCCCTTTTCATCTGCAGCCTTCACTGCGCTCATATTGTGTTCTGTAAGTTTGACTAAAAATCCTTCAAACTGGAATGAACTGGTTTTTTTTTTTGTTCTGCCCAAAAGCTGCAGATGGCAGATGTTGGAGGGTAATCTTCCTAATTCAAGTACGATTGTCCCAAGTTCTGACCCGTTTCTGTGTCTTGCTGTGCTTAGGTATGGTTCTTGTGCTTGTCATCCTGGTCCTCATCCGCTGCTGCTGTTGCTGCTGCTGCGATGATGAACAGGTAAGAATATGAACACACACCGATGTCAGAGTCTGCCTCTCAGGATTATTGCAAAGATGGTTTAGCTTCTTTGGTCAACTTCTGAACTGGTTTAGAACAAATATTATAATTCTACAGTTCTTTGTGTCCATTAATGAATTCACTTTGACAGTGACTGTCCAGTTCTTGGTCCTGTTTTATCCAATCGTTCCATGTTTCCATTTGTGGATGTAAAGTATTATCATTATGCAGATGATTTACAGCTGTACCTTTTCTGATGATATAGATCATCTGAACTCCCATTCATGAATTCAAGGGTTTGAGGATTCAAGGTTCTTTATTGTCATTTGCATCACATGTGGTACATGAGGTGGAACGAAATTGTGTACACAGGGTCCCAGTTACATCCAACAATAGCAAAAAATATAAAGTGTTAAAAGAAATGGTAAATAAAGATCTAAGATATAAACTAAGATATATGCTAAATGAATGTCCAATGGTACACTAAAAGATCTAAGATGTACACTGGTCACTAATAGTGCAACACAATACACCGAACAAAAGCAGCACGATTCTCTTAGGTTCGGTTCGGCTATAGTTCACACGCTAATAATAATAATAATAATAATAATAATAATAATAATAATCATCATTTTATTTAAAAAGTGCCTTTCAGGACACCCAAGGACACTTTACAGTAAGAAACATATCAGAAAGATTGTGTAAAAGCAAACAAGCACAGTGCAAAGATCAACAGGAATAAACTGAAATATAAAATACATAAAGAATATAAAATCCATACAGCAAAGTTAAGGATAAGCGAGTCTAAAGAGATGTGTTTTCAGAGCAGTCTTGAATAGAGAAAGAGAGGTGGTGTTTTGTAAGTCAGGGGGTAGAGAGTTCCAGAGATGAGGGGCAGAACAGGTGAAGGCCCTGTTCCCCATGGTGGAGAGGAGGTTTGAGTTATGACACGGGCATCTGAATTCTGGACCATTTGCAGCTTCTGGAGAGATTTGTTGGGGAGGCCATAAAGAAGGGAGTTGCAGTAGTCAATCCGAGAAGTCACAAGACTGTGCACAAGAATGGCTGTGGAACGGGGTGTGAGAGAAGGGCGGAGACGTTTAATATTTCGGAGATGGAAATAGGCAGACCGAGTAACATTGTTGATGTGTGAAGTGAAGGAGAGAGTGGTGTCGAGGATGACACCAAGACTCTTGACCTGAGGTGAGGGGGATAGCAGAGAGTTATTCAATTTCAATTCAATTCAGTTTATTTATATAGTGCCAAATCACAACAAAGTTGTCTCAGGGCACTTTACAGAAACATTCACATACATAAAAGCCAATTGGTAAAGTTCTCTATCTAAGGAATCCAGCAGACGAGTTGAATCTTGGCTTCATTCATGCAGGTCTGCCTCCTTGTGGTGTGACGTTGCACGTTCGTGGTGAGACGTATTGTGTCACTTCCTGTTTGTCTGTTGGTAGCTCGAGTGAATTGTTTGCTCGAGTCGTCTCTGTTTTCTGGATTTATCTGTCTTTTGCACAGTTTTTCATTCTAGTTCACAAACACACTTAGTACAGTTGTTTTTCTACTGTTGGATAGTGCTTAAAACACCTCTTATCTTTCAACACTTCTCGGTTTTTATTGGTGTATTTGGCTCTGCTTGCTCCTGCTAGCGTTAGCTTAGCATGGCTGCTGCTTCTCTCCCTGCTTCCTCTGTTTTCACTTGCTCCATGTGTCAGATGTTTAGTTACTCCTCTGCCTCCTTTAGTGGTAATGATACATGTAACAAATGTAGTCTTATGGTAGCTTTGGAGGAGAGGCTGTCTGAACTGGAAGCTCGGCTCCGCGCTGTAGAAAAACCAGTAGCTAGCCAGGTCCCCTTAGACAGCGTGGAACCACAGAGGCTAGCTCACGTTAGCGGTCCTCCAGCAGACCCCGAGCAGCCGGGACCCCAGGCCGGCTGGGTGACGGTCCGGAGCAAGTGTAGTGCTAAGGCTAAGCCCCCAGTTCACCACCGACCCGTTCACGTTTCTAATAGATTTTCCTCGCTCAGTGACACACCCGCTGAGAAGCAGACCCTGGTTTTTGGAAGCTCCATAGTCCGAAACGTGGCTTTAGGGACTACAGCGGCCATAGTCAAATGCATTCCGGGGGCCAGAGCGGGCGACATAGAATCTTATCTGAAACTGCTGACTAAGGCTAAAGCTAAATACAGTAAGATTGTTATTCACGTCGGCGGTAATGACACCCGGTTACGCCAATCTGAGGTCACTAAAATTAATGTTGCTTCGGTGTATGACTTTACTAAAACCATGTCGGACTCTGTAGTTTTCTCCGGCCCCCTCCCCAACCTGACCAGCGATGACATGTTTAGCCGTATGTCGTCATTTAACCGCTGGGTGTCCAGGTGGTGTTCTGACAACGACGTGGGCTACATAGATAACTGGAGTTCTTTCTGGGGAAAACCTGGTCTGATGCGGAGAGATGGCTTCCATCCCACTTTGGACGGAGCCGCTCTTCTTTCTAGAAATATGGCTGATTTTGTTTATCCCCCAAATTATTGACAACCCAGGGTCCAGTCCAGGAAGCCGAGTTGTAGTCCTCCACACCTCTCTGCTGCTTCTCCTCTGTTACCCACCCACACCCCATTGAAACAGTGTCAACTCGCCCACGGCTCAAATTAAATAAACCAAAAATCAACTCTAAAAATATAAACCATAAAAATCTGATTCAAATAAACACAGTTACTTTACCAGAGCAAAATCATAAAATCATTAAATGTGGATTATTGAACATCAGATCTCTTTCCTCTAAATCCCTGTTAGTTAATGAACTGATAACTGATCATCATATTGATTTATTTTGTCTGACAGAATCTTGGCTACAACAGGAGGATTTTGTTGGTATAAATGAATCCACTCCTGTTAATTATTTTAATTTTCATGTTCCTAGAACAACTGGCCGAGGTGGAGGAGTAGCTTCTATTTTTCAGTCAGGATTATTGATTAATGCCAAACCAGTTATTAGTTATGATGCTTTTGAATCACTGTCCCTCAGTCTTTCTCATCCAAAATGGAAATCAGAAAAGCCACTTTTACTAGTAACAACTAGTTATATAACCGTTATATATATATATAGTTATATATATACTAGTTATATATATACTAGTATATACTAGTTATATATATACTAGTATATCGTCCACCAGGCGCTTACTCTGTTTTTGTCTGAATTCTCAGAATTCTTAACTGACTTACTATTAAATACTGATAAAATCATCATAATGGGTGATTTCAATATTCATGTGGATGTTGAGAGTGATAGCTTAAGCATAGCCTTTAATAATTTAATAGACTCATTTGGTTTTACCCAAAACGTCCGCACATCTACTCATTCTGATCATCACACTCTTGATTTAGTTCTGACCTATGGTATAGAGATTAAGGACTTGGCAATAGTTCCTCAAAATCCTATTCTGTCCGACCATTTTTTAATAACCTTTGAGTTTACATTAAATGACTACACAGTCACTGAGAGTAAATTTCATCTCAGCAGGTGCTTATCAGAAAATGCTGTAACCAAATTTAAACAATCTCTTCCATCAATGTTTTCCTCTGTCTTGCAGAGTAATGCATCAGAGAACAGAGACTTAGATCATCTAGTTGATCATCTTACAACTTCAATGCAAATTTCACTTGATAAAATTGCTCCACTGAAAAAGAAAGTAATCAGTCAGAGGAATCTGGCTCCTTGGTTCAATTCTGAGTTACGTACTTTAAAGCAGGCATCTAGGAACCAGGAGAGAAAATGGTGCCCTACTAATGTTGAAAAATTTTATTTAACTTGGAAAGATAGTCTGCTAAAATATAAAAAAGCTCTCTGTAACGCTAGAACTTAATATTACTCATCTTTAATAGACGAGAATAAAAATAACCCTAGGTTTCTGTTTGGTACTATTGCTATACTAAGGGTGCATTCACACTAGCCCTTTTTAGTCCGCTTTAATCGAACTCTAACTCGTTTTCCTAGAAAGTCCGGTTCGTTTAGGGAGGTGTGAACGCGCCATCGAACTCTGTCACGGAACAAAAAGGCGAACTCTGGCCCGGGCTAAAACCTAGGTCTCGGTCCGGTAGAAGAGAACTCCAGCGCGGTTCGAGTACAGTGTGAATGTAAACAGACCGGACCCCGCTCTGCAGGGTAAACAAACATGCATTTCTCTGACCTTATATGGAGCCGTCAGCTGCCTTGTGTGGAAAACAATATTCTCCATGGTCTTCTGTCTCATCTTCTGATCACGCTAAGTCCATTTTTGAAACATGACAAAATATAACTCCTAACACTGCTAAAACTTGATGCCACTTCGTTTTTTATTTTTATTTACAGAAGAAGAAGAAGAAGACGTGTCTTCAGAGGTTTTTGTGTTGTTTCTTTCAGTAGTTCTTGGTGCAGCGCCCCCACAAGCGAGTGGGGGAATAGGTTGGTTCAACAGGTTGGCTCAATTGCACAGTGCAGTGTGAATGCAAACGCACCAGCTCAAATGTAAACAAAAGGTCATGAATATTGGTCCCGAACCGAGTCTACCGGACTGATCTTGTGGGAAAACAACCTAATTAAAAGTCCCATTTCTATTGATCCATGTAGCCCTACAACTATAAGTAGTGATGACTTCATGAGATTCTTTATAAATAAAATTATTTCAATTAGAGAGAAAATTCAAACCATCCTTCCTTCTACTATCTCTAGTCCCCTGTCAAATGAGGCAACTTTAAAAATTTCACTAGAGCCTGATTTATGTTTGGACAGTTTTTGTCCTGTTGAGCTCTCTGAATTGTCAAAAATAATAACCTCATCCAAACCATCCACATGTTTGCTAGATCCCATCCCAACCAGACTGTTTAAAGAGGTGTTCCCCCTAATTAATGTCCACATTTTGGATCTACTTAATTTGTCTTTAATGGATGGTTATGTACCACAGCGTTTTAAGGTTGCTGTAATTATTATCTATAAAAAAAAAAATA